CCTCACCCCACTCCAGCTTGAGGGGGAGTATGGAGGAGAATGAGCAATCACAGTATAAGAAAGTTAGTGGAGTTAATCAAGGAATTAGGAAGACAACAAATCAAGCAAAATCAGTGCAGCAGGACAACGGCTATGCTATATTAGTCAAGTAATATTTACATTCCATATTTGTGAGTTGGGCTAGGTGAAGAGACAAGCTAGTTTGGAGAGTCTAAAATGGTGAGCGAAACAGAAGGAAAGGAAGAATCTAGATTTGGGTTCCATTTTGTTATAGTTCAATTGAAGGAATTCTAGGTTGCGGTGGGTTGATTAGAGGGCAACGGGGGACCAAACAATCTAATCGAAGATGATGAGAGAGGAAGAAAGGTGGCAAATTACAGCAGTAAACTGGAGGCTCAAACGGTAAATCAAATATTGGGCCTCCATACCAATGCCGAATGACAGCCCAAAATGGTAATGCCAAATTACATTAGGAGCTACCGATTGACATTTTCCGTACCCTTGCTGCGATCACCGGTGCGATTTTTCCATACTAAATCCAATATTATTTCTGACAGATGAAAAATGAAAGTTATAGGTACCTTTTGTCCTGGAATCCATGGGATACTACAACATCCAGCATGGTAATATATATATGTTATTGATTATAATTCAAATACTAGTTTTCATAGAGCAACACACAACACAACTATAAATAAAATACAATGCAGTACTAAACAAATTAATAGGAGATTTTCAAATTAAACAGGAAATCAAAATAAAAAGAACACTCTGGAATTAAATTTAACAGACAATTTTATGAAGTGGCTGAGATGATCTCCAACTCGTGAACGAGTTCCTTCTGAAAGAACAAGGATAGAAGAGGCCAAGGAGGGCCTTGCAATGCTGTCTCTACTCGTCTAGTCATCTCTTCTTTCGTAAGATCCAACGGTTACACTTGCGAATCTGTTGACGCATCCTGACGTCTCCTGTCCTTTGCCATACGCTTCGGTTGTGCTAAAACATAGCTGGAATCACTGGATGAGAAGTTAATCCCAAGTAATTGATCAACAACCAAACCAAGGTGAGAAGTTGTCCGCTCTGCTTACTTGTCGTGCGTGGACAATGGGTTGGCAATGAATAGCAGCATAGCATAATATTTCTATCCAAAATCTGCTCATTAAGTTCCACAGACAACCACCGGGCTGATATTGGAGAAGCTCCTTGGCAAGAAAACCTGCAACGGTTATCCTCGGAAAGCTAGCTATTCTATCCTTTTCCTTGGGTTCTAACCTGTCCACATCTTTCTTCCACAGACCTAGATTTCTATAAACAATTTCAGCTTCGTCTTCCAATAGCTTATGCAGTAGATCTTTAATGAATGTTTCTGTGGATCCCTTCTTCCAATAACCTGGCCACTCCCATGGTCCATCTTTGGCCTCAAAAACCATCTTCAAACTGTTAGGCGAGGTGGCTGTCATGGTGGTAGGCTCCATTACCAAAAGGTAAAACATATAATCTGAAATCAACTTGCATATTTTTCGGTGATCGAAACGATCATTAGATGTTGATGTAGAACTGCTGGAGCTGTTTTCTGGACATACTTTTCGGTAGCATATTTCAGTGGCTATGTGCCATATCAGAAGGCTTTCCATGTGCTCAAACCTGTCGAGGGTCCAAGCGAAGTTGGTAATATGACCGGTGAGAATTCTAGACGGACTAAAGATTTCCTTGCCAGCCTCGCCAATATCCTTTTCTCGTAGCGTTGTGAAAATGAGCTTCCAAGCTTGTTCCTCTACAAAATTTTCGAGGGACACACACTGGATGCTTCTTCTTATGGTTTCAAACAAACTGCTTTTGCCAAGAAAATCAACCAATTTATTAGGATAATCTCCATCTTTATTCTTGAAATGACAATCAAAAATATTTAATTGGGGAACTAAATTCGACCACCTGCGCCTTTTAATGAATTCATCATAATTCTCTCTGCCATGGTACTGCCTAATAAAAATCCAATCAGAGAACATAACTAACCAGATGGATATCAAATCCAATGCCAATGCCCCGATCAGCAACCCATATGTCAGGCAGATGTCAAACTCCCCCAACTTATTATGGTAGTACTTCCTAAGTAATATTGAGAATGACACTAAGGCTCCCAAGATGCACCCAAAGTTAACCGTGCGGCAAATATAACCAATCTTGGAATCAACTACGGGCAACTTGGTATGAAGGAGCTCATACAAGAGGCTTAATTGGATCTCTATGGTTCGAAGCATCTTATGTGAATCTGTTTCTCGCACAAAAGTAGAAAACCACTTTTGTTCCTTTTTAGTCATGGGAGGACCGACGAGTAAGCTCTTGATAGCGCCAACCAGTAAGCTGGCACAAGAATTATCGAAGACGGTCGTTTACTCGATTCCCAACCCTGTGACTTAAGAACTTGTTCAAATTGTACTGGAATGGGAGGCAGACGTGATATATATGACCAATTACTCCCAAAATGGTCAAAGCTTGCGAGATAAAAGGCACCGTTGCGCTCAGCATATTTGATTACCCCTGCAATTAGAATTAGGAGAGTTGGCAGCCAAAGTTTGTTATGTGTGAGTGACTGAAGGATAACATGCATAGTCGAACTAACTTGTAATATGAGCCCAAGCAAGTGCCTAATCCAGAGTTCATTGTCCTCCAGAGAGAAGGAAGTAATGGTGTCAGGGCCACCAAGATGCAATAAAAGAAAGGGTGCCCAAAAGGCTACGATGTCACTGCGTTCAGCACGCAACATGAGTCCAATAGTGAATGTAGCCACCCAATCTGCAAGTAGGTATGCTATCCAGAGTGGAATCTTGATGAACCATTTCCCACCTCTTCGCTTTCTTAATTGTGCAGACAGAATTAGGAAAGACTGCACCAAGAGACTTAGAATAATTAGGACTCTGATATTCCAAGTATCCCATAGCTTCTCGACGTGTTCAGCAATGAGCAATGGCATCATCTTTAATCTGCTTTGTTTTGTTTTGCCAGAGGTAGTCAAACTTTAACCAACACACTTAGGGATGCACAATGAGTCTAGTTCAACAACAACGTCCTGAGTTGGATATCCTACATTAAGAGATAACAGACTTCGGTTTCAATTTTTTGAGACTGGAAAATTTATATGTTAAGAGAAAAAAATTTAAAAATTCTAATGTATTTTATTATTATTAACTATTGCAGTAATGTAGTTGATTGATTTTTAAATTAATTAATTTAAAAATTTACAATTTTATGTTTAATTATTAATTTGTCGGCTTCTGGTCCCTTTGATGTCTCCCTTCTCCCCTGTTTTTTCGTTTTTCTGTTATACTACTCGGACCGTTCGGTTCGGTTCGCATTGTAACTTTTTTGACAGTTCCATATCTCTAATAAGTAAATTTCTTAAAATAATTAATTTTAATCAATATTTTTGTATTTTAATAATTTATTATACTTTCTCTCTTTTATATTAATAATTTATTTGTTATTATTCTTTCTCTTATTATC